TTCCCTAAAGGAAACAACTTTCTGGTTTGAGTTAGCGTGCTGTGTGTTCTTTGATGCACTCTCTGACTTGTTTTTCCAATGTTCTCCTTTATTTTACTGCTTTGGAGAAAACAGCTCTGAAGCAACCTTGTTGCACCTCATTTGGTAGAATTTCAGCTCCTCAGTGTAATGTTTCATGAAATTGTCGTGTTTGTAGGAAAAACAGTCCCTCCCTCCATCTGCTGCTAGCTTATGCTCACCTAGGAGGGAGCAGGGAACTTCAATCCATTACTGCAGTTGAGTGAACCTTGGCTGCCAATCCTGTACTGACATAGCTCAAACACTGTCCCCTGAAGACAGTTGCATGGGAAGTGAACCATGAGCTCCCCTTCCCTCTAAGAAAAACAGGCTTACAGGAGGGGAGCTTGGGTGAATGGATTGCACTGCCTGTGGGGGATGGCTTGTTATCATGTTAACTGACTGACACAGAGAATGGGCTTTTTGTGAGTTCTGAAAACTTACTAATTCTGAAAGTAAGTCTGGGTGGTATAAACAGACACTATTTTCATGTCTTCTGCTGTGAAGTTCTGCATGTTGCTGGTAGCAGTGGGAGAAGGCTGGGCTTTGGGTCTAATGAATTCATAGCTTGGCAGGTAGATTTCTGTCTGGAACATCATCTAGTGTTGAAAACTTGTATATAAAAATATACAACTCTATTAGAAATACAAAATTGATGAGAGGTAAGTGGGCCAGTATTTGTGATAAATTCCATACTGTATATTCTGTAGAGATGATCGCCTCTACGTCACAGGCCTAATCCTTGTCTTGTTAATCTCCAGTGACAGGACTTTTGGGACTGAAGCACTCATTTACTTGTAGCTATATGACTGTGTTAATATGTTAAGTAGGTTTGGCTGTGGATGGTTGCTGGATGGAGAGCCTTTCAGGGAAAGAATGAAGAGCTGCAGAGGGTGGCATTCTGCAGAATGATAGTATCTGGAAGGGTGCTTCTGTAGGTGCTGAGTATCTGGATGTGATCTAAACCCAAGGCTCTCTAGCTATGACCATAAGGCAAAAGAAGAAGTTTACTTGTCCTTTTTGGAAAGGCTTGGCATTAGATAGCTTCTCTCAACTTGAATGTGTCTATATGACTGGTTTTGTTCATGTGCAGTCTTACCAGACAGTACCTGGAAGTTAAAGGAGATGAAGAAAAATAATTTTCTCATTTGTTGGTTTCTTTTAACAGCTACAACAATATTTCAATTTGTGCTCTCTCTTCTGGCTCTTAATCATATTCCTCTACTGTTTATTGTGGGAAACAGGAGAAGGAAAGAAGAAAGCATAAGAAAAACAAAACAAAATTGACTGACCTTAAAAGAGCAAGAGGTGGTGATTTGGATTTGAGTCCTGTACCTAAAATTTCTTGTCTCTTGTCTTTAATTGATTAGATTTCAAGTTGATTATATGCCTTTCAGCTTAGTGACCTAGCTGCATTTTAATGTTTGCAATTAGTTTCTTTTCCTCTAGGAGTTTAAAAGAGATATAATATTCTCTACTGCTTCTGAGCAGTGATGTGCATGGCTAAATGGTTGTTATATTCTGCTTTGCAAGTGGCTAAGTATCCTGTTTGTGCTTGCCAAAATGTGTCTGATTTAAGTTTGCCCACAGTGTTTTGAGTGTATGGTAGAGAGTCAATAATGGCACTTTATTTGTCTTTGTCTTAAGAGCAGCCTGGTGTTGAGGGGTTTTGGTAGCATAAGATGCTCTCAGCTGATGTCTGCTGGACAGCTAGGTATGACCTTTACATGTACCAAGAAAGAAGAGAATCTTTTTCATAGGCATACATTTTGAGGGTTGTTTTCTGGTTGGTTTTCTTTGAGGGGTGTTTTTTTCTCTTGTAATCTCTTGGTCTCAGTGTAGTGCAAGACATAGGGCTCTTTGTGAGCTTCAGAAATCTGTTGCTGAGGTGGAGGGGAGAGTGAAAGACATGTATAAACAGCATGAGTGACATTTGGTTTATAAAGGCACTGATGATCTTGTAATTCATTTTGTCAGAGTGCCTGCTGTCTTCTTTACAAAGTAGTTACATAATTGAGTAGGAATTGGGATGTGAGTCACTTTCTATCAATTAATAACTGGGATGAATCCATGACCTGAGATCCACATGCTGTTCTTAATATTTGCTTAGAAATATGATCACCTGCAGCTCTTATTATAGTGTAATTCTCCCCTTTATTTGAATAATCAGAAAGTGCTGAGCTGGTGTTCTTGAAAATTAATTTGGTCCTGATAGCTCTAGGTTTGACCTTCCATTTTCATTCCCTTGAAATGTAATTTTTTTTTACTGCTGTGGTTCAGTGGTTTTCTATGGGTCAGTTCTGAGGATCAGGGGAAGCTGAGGCTCTGTGGACCAGCTTCTCAGTGGGACTGAAAGGTACCTAACGCACTTGCTGGAGAGACAGAGTAGTGAGAATTCTATCAAGATGTCAGTACTGACTGTGTACTGTGTAATCAAGTCCCGATACTTTAATGAATGTGTGATGATATCCAAATAATGTAGGGTGAAAGCGTGGAGAATATCAAGGTGGGCTGTGAAATATGTTGGGAGAAATTGATCAGAAACAAATGAAGAGTGAAATTGTTAGCTTAATTCTGCCCTTGGTTCTGAATGGAGTGTAAAGAAAATATACAAATACCATATTTAGCAGAAGGGAAATTCAATTTTTTGACATCAGCATTTGAAGACCATGTTACTGATATGGGCAAATAGATTACATGCACTTAATTGTGAGTTGAGAAACCTGGTAGATGCATGTTTACCTTTCAGAAGCCTTGCCTTAACTCCTGTTTTTCCTCTGTGGAATTTCTAGTTGTTAACTCCTCTTGATGAAAAACATGTTTGGCTGACTGTAAATGAATGATGTTTGAAGTGTTCATGTTGGTTGTTCTCCATCTCCTCCATCCTGTGCGGTCACTCCTTCCTGCTTAGCAGCACACTGAAAAGAGGTCTCAAACCCAAGGCCAGGGAATGCTGATTGATGGCAGAACCTCTCCAGGCCTTCTCCCAGGGCCTGGTGTTTACTACTTTGCTTGCATATGGGGATACTTCTTTCAGTGTCATGCTTGGAGACTACTGGAAATGAGGTCAGGGAAATGGTCTTTTTGTCTACAGTGTACCTGTGTGAAATGTATGTGTATCTCATTTCTTGCTTTTTTATGTGTGTCTTTTGCATTATAAATTCAGATCTTGTCTGTCCCAGAAGCCTTTGTATCTGACTATTAGGCCTGTGACATCAATGATAATAAGGAAGAGAAATGTAATTAACTGAGAGGGGAAACGATTTGCATTCATGTTATTTAAAATGCCTTTTTTTGTTTGTGTCAAGGACCCATTTAATTCACATCTCCAAGAGAAAAGCTCTTGGGTGGGAAGGGAGTTGCTTAGGGGTTCAGAAGATTTGCATCCCACATTCATGAATCACCCAAGGAATCTTGCAGCATTAGAAGGGAAAATGAAAATTAGAAGTGCTGATTTGGAGGGAGGGGAAGAAGGGAAAGCAAATAAACCCTTACTAGGTAGTGCTCATACCTAATGGAGGAGCTATGGAGAACACCAAACCCTCTGCTTTCTCTTTGTATGTCACCTAATTATTGACAGCGACTCTTTAATTAATATACTCCTTTCAATTTTTCAGAGTGTGCTATTTTTGTCTTTTCTGGCTTTTAGAGGAAAAGGGGAGCCAGTGACTGAGCTGAGTTGGTCCTCCTGCCGGCAACTTCTCTACCAGTCAATGGCCACCATCCTGGCTCACACAGGCTTTGAGTGTGCCAATGAGAGTGTCCTGGAGACCCTGACAGACATTGCCCACGAGTACTGCTTGAAGTTCACCAAACTGCTGCGCTTTGCTGTGGATAGAGAAGCTCGGCTTGGGCACACTCCTTTCCCTGATGTCATGGAACAGGTCTTCCATGAGGTGGGCATTGGCAGTGTGCTCTCGCTGCAGAAGTTCTGGCAACACCGGATTAAGGATTATCACAGCTACATGCTTCAGGTGAGAAGAGCAGTAGGGACCTGATAGCACCAAGAAATGTACCCCCAGTACAGCTGCTTATTCCTGTAGCAAGTCGTGAGTCTTACTGAGGGGAAATCTGATTAGAAAACCAC